GGAGGGCGGGAGGTGCGCTGAGTTTGTCCGGGCTCAGCCCCTCGCTGTCATTCCAGAGCTGCGCTGAGTTTGCCGGAGCTCACTTGTCATTCAGGAGCTGTGCTGAGTTTGTTAGGTCTCAGTTGTCATTCCAGAGCCGCACTGAGTTTGCTGGGGCTYAGCCCTTCTCAGTCGTTCCAGAGCCGCGCTGAGTTTGTCGGGTCTCAGCCCCTCACTGTCATTCCAGAGCTGCACTGAGTTTGTCCGGGCTCAGCCCTGTGCTGACATTCCAGAGCTGCGCTGAGTTTGCCTGAGCTCAGTTGTCATTCAGGAGCCGCACTGAGTTTGTCGGGTCTCAGCCCATTGCTGTCATTGAGGAGCCACAATGAGTTTGTCGGGACTCAGCCCCTCGCTGTCATTCCAGAATTGCGCTGGGTTTACCAGGCTCAGTTGTCATTCAGGAGCTGTCCTGAGTTTATCGGGTCTCAGCCCATCGCCGTTGTTCCAGAACTGCCCAGAGTTTGTCGGGTCTCAGCCCTTTGCTGTTGTTCAGGAGCTGTGCTGAGTTTGTCCGGTCTCTGCCCCTCGCTATCATTCTGAAGCCGCACTGAGTTTGCTGGGGCTCRGCCCCTCGCCGTCATGCCAGAGCTGTGCTGAGTTTGTCAGGGTTCAGCCTTTCTCTGTCATTCCAGAGCCGCACTGAGTTTGTTGGGTCTCAGCCCCTCACTATCATTCCAGAACTGTGCCGAGTTTATCGGGCTCAGTGGTCGTTCCAGAGCTGTGCTGAGTTTGTCAGGGCTCAGCCCCTTGCTGTCRTTCCAGAGCTGTGCTGAGTTTGCCAGGGCTCAGCCCGCATGGCCAGGATGGAGCCGTGCCGAGTTTGTCRGGTCTCAGCCCATTGCTGTCATTGAGGAGCTGTGCTGAGTTTGTCAGGGCTCAGTTGTCATTCCGGAGCCGCCCTGAGTTTGCTGGATCTCAGCCTGTTGCTGTCATTGAAGACCTGCCCTGAGTTTGTCAGGTCTCAGCCCCTCGCTGTCATTCCAGAGCCGCACTGAGTTTGTCAGGGCTCAAGCCCTCGCTGTCGTTCAGGAGCCGCGCTGAGTTTGCTGAGTTTGTCGGGTCTCGGCCCGTCGCTGTCATTCCAGAACTGTGCTGAGTTCACTGGACTCGGTCCTCATTCAGGAGATGTGCTGAGTTTGTCAGGGCTCAGTTGTCATTCTGGAGCTGTGCTGAGTTTGCCGGGGCTCAGCCCCTCGCTGTCATACCAGAACTGYGCTGAGTTTGCTGAGGCTCAGCCCCACACAATCAAGATGGACCCGCGCTGAGTTTGTCGGGTCTCAGCCACCCGCTGACATTCCAGAGCCGCGCTGAGTTTGCCGGGACTCAGCCCACACGGTYAGGATGTAGCCGTGCGGTAAGTGGCGGCTCCGCGCACAGGCCACACGTGCACCGAGAGCGGGTGGCCTCAGCCCATGGTGGGACCCCGTGCTCAGGCCACATGTGCGCTGAAAGCGGGCGGCCTCAGCCCGTGACGGGACCCCGGGCGGACAGCAGCCGTCGCCACCCTTGGTGGGACAGGGCTGGACCTCCAGGCGAGAACGAGCAGCTGCGCTTGTTCCATCACCTTCCCGTGGAATGGGATGAGGCCGACCAGCCTGCAGTKCCCCAGCTCCTCCGTGACCTTCTTGAAGACCCTGGTGACATCTCCTCCCTTCCCCTCCTYAGGACACCCTAGATCACGTGGAAAGGCCCCCCTAGATCATGCTGTGTAGGTACCTGTGTCCTGCTTCATCAACGCAGCGTTGAGACCTCATCATGTCCCCCCACAAGARGGACATGGAGCTACTGGAACRAGTCTAGCAGAGATGAAGAAGGAGCCTCTGTCCTCTGAGGAGAGGCTGGGAGAGCTGGGAATGTCCAGCTGGAGAAGAGGAGGCCACCGAGAAGGAGGCCTTCAATGTGTGTACGTCCTTGGGATGTCCAAGCACTGCACAGGTTGTGGAGTCTCCGTCTTTGGAGATGCTCAGAACCCAACTGGACGTGATCCTGGGTAACCTGCTGGAGCTGCTCTGAACATGGACCTCGTGTCTCCAGAGGTCTCTCCGACCTCCGAGATGGTGGCAGGTTGTTTCAGATGGTGGCAAAGCTCTTCAGCGAGTTTTTTTTTGTGAGGATTTGAAGAATCCGACTGAAATAGGAATGCCGGGTGGTGGGAAAACGGGGCTGTTTCAGGCGATCTGAACGAGACAGCTGGTAGGACCAGATTTGGAATGAAAGTATTGGCTGAAATACTCTGCTGTGAAGTAGAGGATCGTGATGAAGAYGGTTGCATGGGGAAAGACTCGGAAGAGAAACCCGTGCAGCAGATGGGAGCTGGGAGAGCATCCGCATGGAGCCCGCACGGGAAGATTCGGCTACCGGGACGAGCACGGACACGTGGTCCATGCTCTTGGTGGCTTCCTTGGCCCCATTCCTGGGCAAACCAGGTGTACTCGGGTCTTTGAGGAACATGGATGAATTCCTGCGTGGAAAAGAAAGCAAAGGATCTTCCGAAGGGCCAAACAGAGGAGAACTTGTTCCTGGTGGACATCTGTGTGACTTCCTGCAGCCTCCACTGAAGGGGCTCCACAGCCACCGYGGGCTCAGGGTGTGGATGCTTGGTGGCATTGGCCTAATATCRAAGGGAAATCTCCTTAGCTGTAAGTGCAGCTTTTTTAATATTGTCAGACTCCTAGCGGGACATCTGTGTCCTCCTGGTCTGTGGGTTCCTCTTTTCCCTGCTGGCATCGTCTAATCCAGTCCTTGAGCCTTTCCTGGTGTTTCCAGGAATCCAGGAGCACTCGCATCTCTCCTCCTTCCCTGTCCCATTTGAAGTCATCCACTCAAATTACCCATTTTACTCCATCGTTGAAGCTCTTGATGAAGAGAGGACTGAGCACCAGAGCCATAGATAAACCCGTCGTGCCAGGACACTCCTTCATGGGACTATTACTCTTGGAAAATAAATTTTCAGCTAGTTCTGGAGCTATTTGGATTTATTTCCATATATATGTCTATCCAGAAGAAGCTTCTTCCATGTTTAGGATGGATAAAGCATATGCTGCGTCGTGGAGGCAGGTCATGTTCCTGGTTTCCACACTTTTCCTCCGTGTGCTTCTCCATGACCTTGAAGAGAACTGTTCTGCTCCAGGAAGCCCAGGAAAATGATTATGGACATCTCAAATCTTCCTTGCGTTCTCCAAGGTGGGTTTCACCGGCCACATCTCACATTCCAAGGTGGCCTCTCCCATCTCCCATCTTTCATCTTCCTTTATCCCAGGCTTCTTCCCAGGGGTTTCACAGAATCACAGGATATTCAAGGTTGGAAGGGACCTCTAGAGATCATCTAGTCCAACCTTCCTGCTCAAGCATCTGGTGGACTTAAACCAACACAGCCTAAGCCCACGGCAGCTCTGTCATTGCTGATGCTTTTACTTCTGCAGAAGTCAGGAATTTGCAGCCAAAACATCCTCATTTTCAAACCTTTCTTTCCAGATCGGCCTCTTGAACCATTCAAAAGAACTTTTCTCCCTTGCCAAATGGTTATTTTTTCCTTCTTTTGTCACTTCATTGCTGCAAAGAATCTTATTTTCCGAGTTGCTTGGGCAGAGGGACAGGGAAGCAGGGAAAACCTGCCTGAACTGCGTGTCCCATCTTCTCAATTGCTCCACATTGCATCCAGGATTGCACGTAATCCTGGCATTGGGTATCCAGCATGTAATCCTTATCCTTCATGTAATTCCTTAATAAACTTAAGCTCCTGTTAAAAGAAGGAGCGGAGCTGCTCGTGTTGGAAAGCTGCTTGCGGGCGGACAGCTCCGGCACTCCTTGGAATGGGTTGGAAGCGCTGAGATCTCCTGCTAATCTGCAAGGAAAAACACCGCCTGCTTCCAGTTTAAAGCAAAGTGGGGAAAAACTCAACGTTTTGGTAATTCCTGCTGGGAAGAAAGGGGGGAAAATACCTGCAAAGCTGTGTAAAAGCATCCGTGGAAGAGGGCTAGGATTAACTGCTGCCAAGGGTAGAGTTTTGACTTGTGGGATGGCAAAAACCTCTGCAAGATGGACCAGGGAGCGGAGAGACATTGGATAAAGGTGACTGGTTCCACTTATTTCTCTTGGTTCCACTTATTTCTCCTGGTTCCACTTATTTCTCCTCGTTGGATTCGCTGAAGGGTCCAGAAACAGCCAAGACAAAATCAACTGGTCGGGAGCACAAGGGAATTCCTGGGACATCCCTCGTGTCACCCTCGTGTTGGCTAAAGCTGCAAGAGCCATTCAAGGGTTTAGAGGTGACGAGGCCAAAGGAAAATGGGGTTAAATAATGAGAAAATGTTTTCTCCTTTCAAATAAGAGGCGGTTTCTTGAGTATTCTCACCTGTTTCCATTGCCCTCTTTGGCCGTGGTGGCCTCCGTAGTAGCCTGGGCCTGTGACTTGGGTGAGATCCGACCGTTTGCAGCCTGTATCCGTAGGCAGCAAGTGAAGAAGCAGAGGGAAGGGTGGAGGAAGGCCCAAAACGCTTCCCTTTATGGAGCTGTGGCTTCTGCTTCAGCAAAGCGGACCTCAAAACACCCAACCTCAACATGGGGACCAGCTGGTAGATGCTGTGGCCGTGGTTGTGTGTTGTCATTGAACAGTGTCTGCAGTGGGGCCACCAAGGGGCTCCGGGGTTGGGTTGAGCCTCTTCATCCCGTGAAGGGCAACTTGGGCCACGTCTCCTGAAGGTGGGAGCTGCTACAGGAAGATGCTGCACTTGAAAACATCTCCACTCCTGATCCTGCTGCTCTGCTCCGCTCTGGGGAGGCCAAAGCTGGAGCCTTGGGGGCAGCTCTGGGCTCCCCAGGACAAGGGGCACGTGGAGCTGCTGGAGAGGGGCCAGCACAGAGCGAGGAAGATGAGGAAGAGGAGGGTAGAATCTCTCTTATGAGGAAAGACCAAGCGAGCGGGGCCTGTTGAGGCTGGAGAAGAGGAGGCCGAGAGGGGACCTGGTCAGTGTGTGCAAGCAGCCGAGGGGAGGATGGAGGCAGGAAGGGGCCAAGCTCTTGTGGGTGGTGGCCAGGGGCAGGCCAAGGGGCAGTGGGTGCAGGTTGGAGGCCGGGCAGCTCCATGTGGCCGTGGGGAAGAACTTGTTTGGTGGGAGGGTGCCCGAGCCCTGGTTGAGGCTGCCCAGGGAGGCTGCGGAGGCTCCTGCTCTGGAGACCTTCCCAACGCGCCRGGCTGGAGCGGGTGCCTCGTGCTCTGGGTGTCCCTGCTGGAGCAGGRGMTGGGCTGGGTGATCCCTAGGGATCCCTTCCAACCTCAACCATCCTGAGATCTGTGATGAGGTTTGTCTTTACTCCCTGCTTCAGGTCAGCTCTTGGGCTTTTATTGCCCCAGAAATGCACCTTTTTCACCCAGAAGGTCTCAGAGAAGCCTCAAAACCCACAGAAATAATTGCAGGTGGCTGCAGCCACCTGCCTGGTGGGAAATCAGCCCTGAAACCCACCAAAAGCTGGAGCTGCTCAAGGACCCGAGTGAACAAACACATGGAAACATCCAGGGAAGTCGTGGTCAGAGGCCGAGCGAGGAATGCCACCGGATCGCTCCGCGTTGCCGCGCGCGCACTGGGACATCCAGGATGTTTTCCTTTAAAACGCGCAGGATCCTCATTCCCGCATCCATTTTTTTTTCTTCCCTCCTTTAAAACCGAAGGTTCCTCAGTCCCACATCCGTTTTGCCCAAAACTCTTGTGGTCCGGAGGGTGACGGGGCAGGTTGGTGACCAGGGATTGGGTTTTCCCTCCCCTTTAAAGGAACCGAAGGGGAGAGGAAAATCCCGGCGCTCTGCAGACCTCGGAGCTGGCAGCGCTCCCGCTCCTCGCTGCCTAAACCAGGAAGCTCCGGCCTCGGCCGCTCCAACGGGAGCTCCGTTACGAGCGGGAGGGGTTGTCCAAGAGCTTCAAAAATGCAAAAGCAGCAAAAAAAAAAGCAGAAAAGCAGCAGCCGGGTGGAGCCGCGAGCGGGGCCGGTTTTGGATCCCCACCGCCCGGTTCGGCTTTGGCAGAGCATTTGGCTCCGTTCTGGCGCCGGAGGGGTCCCTTCCTGGCCATGTTTGCACCCTCCGAATGCTTCTGTGTCCCTTTGAGCTCTCCAAAATGTCCCTGCTTGGCCCGGCGCTCTCGAGGTTCCTGCCTGATAACGGCTTTCCAATAGCATTTTTGGGAATGTAAAAACTCAGCGGGAGAGCTGAACCTTTGGGGAAAGAGCCACGCGCTAAAACACGTTTCCTTTCTCTCCTTCTCCTTCCAGACTTCATTTTCCGAGCGCCCATCAAGCTGAGCAAACCGGGGGAGCTGCGGGAAGAGTAYGAGAGCCACCTGAGGAAGGTACCGTAGCCCGCGCGGTTGCAGCCCTCGGGTTTCCCGCAGCAAAAGCGGCCTCCCTGCGAGGAGCATCGAGGACTTTTGTCATCCCTGCTTGGGAACAAGGGTCATTTGTTCCCTTCGGGCCATTCAGGCGGCTCCGGAAAGCGCCGGAGTCCTAGGCTGCCTTCCAGGAGATGGAAACCTACCTTGGTGGGAATGGTTGCGGTTGGAAGGGACCTCTAGGGATCATCTAGTCCTACCCTCCTGCTCCAGCAGGGACACACGGCACCGAGTGGCATCCAGGCGGGTTTTGCAGCGTGATGTGTCACCCTGCTGCTTCCCTGCCWTTTTTCTTCATAATGCCACATTTTAGGGTAGCTTTGGCCAACGGTGGCCTTTCATTAATCAATTTAAGTGCATACGTTACCTCTCTGCCTTTTCCTACTAGACAGGCATCCCAGGTGTACAAAGTATGGGGACTTCTGGCATTTTTACATTCAAAAACAGTTGCCACAGGCAATGGAAAATGAAATTATATAGATTTTATCCTTAGAAGAGGGCAATTCCTCAACCAACTTAAACGTGCATCCAAATAAACCCAGTTGAATACRTTCAGGTGATCTTTGGCTCCAAGGAGAGCGTTTTGTGTAGGTCTGAAGCTGCCCTCTCCCACATCCTGCCACACTCGTTGCTCATGGATCCCATCGGCTGGAATTTCCTGGGTGTCCAGAGAAGCAGGAACTGCCCGAGTTCAGCAGGGCACAATGTTAGTGCTGAGGTTGTTCCCAGTGCCTCCAGGCCGATGCGAATCGGGATGTTCCACAAGGATTAAGCCATCTCCTTTCCCAATGCTCCATAAAATTCCCATTGCTTCTGCACGGGCCACGTTTCCTGAGAGCAGAAGCTTTGTCCCCTGTCACTAGTCCTGGGCACTACCGGCTGTTTAAAGATGATGTGTGAACATTGGGAAAAGCCCAGCTGGAGAGTGGTGGGATTGCAGCAAAGAGGGCTTTGCATCTCCTGCCCAATTTCATATACAGATACATATATATGTATACAGGGATGTATATTATGTCTTCAGAGAGGGTGTCAAGGGCTCCTTTCCCTGGCTGCCAGCGATGGGATAAGTGGCAATGGGCACAAAACGAAGCCCATGAAGGCAGGTCCATGTAGGTGACCCTGCTTGAGTAGGGCAGTTGGATGAGATGATTTCCAGAGGTCTCAGCCCTTCGTGATGCTGCCTGTAGCCCCAAAGTAGTATAACATGGAAAATGTTTTAAGGTGTTTCTGGCGTTCTGGCTGTGTCGCTTGGGAATGGGATGTGTTTGTCCCATTCCCTTTGGCACTGCTGGGGCTGTCCTCCCTCTTTGCTCTGCACCACATGGGACATCTGTCTCCTCTCCCTGGTGACACAAACAAGCTTTTTCTTGCAAACCTCTCCCCAAAAGAGCTCAACAAGAGCCCTGAGAAGGGGCRTCTGAAAGATGCACTCGAGGTTTTTCCTCGAAGCAAGYGAGATTCCGAGTGCCGGCGCRTTGCAAAACTGGGAATTTCCTGCCRCCTCCGGATCCTGCGYGGGRGAAACCCAAAGTTGAACTSGGCAGCGTCTCCTAAGGAGGAAACAGGAACTGAGAAGTTGGCGGCTGAGCCCATCAGGACCTGGGCTTCCCTTTGTGTCCCAGGGCACTGGGATTTAATCCCAGGGCAAGGGATTTAATGGCAGCTTCCCCGCCTGCGGAGCGGGGATAACCTCCCTCCGGAGCGAAGCCAGCAGGGGAGAGGAACATTCAGATGGTTTCTTCCTTCTTCCAGATGGGAGCAGCTTCATAATTTCCCATTTTTGAGCTGCTTCCCAGCCCTTTGCTGCTGAAAACTAAGGTATTACCTTAATGAGGCGCCAAAGCTCTTTCAGTTCAAGTGGGGAATCTCCTAATGTCATGTTCTCTGCCTCATGGATGAGCTGGTTCTCAGGAGAAGATTAAATATTTTGTGGCAGCCCTAAGTTCATAGAATCATAGAATGCTTAAGGTTGGAAGGGACCTTTGGAGACCATCTAGTCCAACCCCCTACACTCACAGGGTCACCTAGAGCAGGTGGCACAGGGTGGCATCCAAGTGGGTTGGGAAGGTCTCCAGAGCAGGAGGCTCCGCAGCCTCCCTGGGCAGCCTGGGCCAGGGCTCGACCACTGTCACCACCAGGGATTTCTCCTGAAGTTCCTGGGAAACTTTTGGTGCTCCCRTTTGTGGCCGGTTCCTCCAGTTCCATCAGTGGCCACCAGTGCAAAGAGGCCGCCCTGTCCTCCTTGCTCCTCCCTTGAGGTGTCTATGGACACTGCCCAGGTGCCCCCTCAGCCTCCTCTTCCTCAGGCGGAGCAGCCCCAGCTCTCGCAGCCTTYGCTCCCARGGCAGATGCTCCAGGCCCTGCTCATCCTCATTCCCTGCGCTGGCCTCTCCCCAGCAGCTCCACATCCCTGCTGTCCTGGGGAGCCCACACAGGCTCCACATAGTTGAGAATTCCYTTATTTTCCTTCCTTTTTTTCCCCGCTGCTGCCTTTGTGCAGCAGGGAACCTCCTACTCGGGGCATGTGCCGACTTGCAGCTCCCGGAGCAGGGAAGCAGATCCGGGCGGCGTGCGGGGTGAGGAGATGGCAAACGTGAGTTTCCTGGCATTTTGCAGACTGTTTTCCTTAGCAATGCTCCTAAATTGGCCATTTCCAGAGGGCAGGTACCACTTAACAAAGCCGTTGCTCCTAGAACGTTGTCTTTCCTAAAGGTCCAGACCATGAAAGGGCTACGGGCAGGTAAAAACACATCCCAAACTAGGTAACAGAGCTGCCAATAATGACCAGTGATCCTAAATCCACTATTTTCCAGGTGCTGCTAGGACAGGATAAGGTATTTCTCCCAAATTGGAGGTTTTGAGCTTATTCCTTTCAGTCTCTAATCCTCAGGTCCCAGTACAGGGCTGCTGTGTTTGCAATTACCTGTGGTGGGAGATAATTGCATTAAGGTTACTTAACAAGATTTTCCTTTTTAATTAGTACAAATCTTGCTAGTAGAGCTTGGTTTTACTTGCAACCCGAATTTTGGACTTAAATTCCTGGCAGAAGGCTGTTAGTTACAACAAAGAGTAGTAAYTGGGGGGGTTGTTCCTGTTTCTCCCGTAGTTTTCTATGAGTTGTGGGGTTGCAGAAAGCACCTAGATGTAGTGGGGGGTAGTTGGAGGAGTGAAGGACAACGGTAAGGACAACATGAAGCTGAATTGTCAGCTAAATTTAGCAATATTGGCYTCATATAGAGGGTTAGAAATATTGGCTTGGATCACTTCAGCACTCCTTGAGCAAACAGAAACCCAGCTCCGAGTTTCACATGCAAAGATTGCCTTGGATGYCAGTATTAACAATCTGGCTTAAGGTAAATACAGGATGCCTCCAAAACAGAGGACATCTTCTCAGTTAGAGAGGATTTTTTCCTTAAATACTATTTTTCCTCCTCATTTTCTGTGTTGATTTTCAGCCAAGGTCACCCCAATTACCCATTCAACCAATTTGGGTAAAGTGTTTAATACTCTTGTATGTGGTTACATATGTTTTGGGACTTTCTATTTGGCAATGTAGCCAACAGTTGGCTAAATTCTAAGTTTATCATATAAACTTATAACTTTCTCCAACTTTACAAGTTGGAGAAAAAGGGAGGATTTCCCTATGGAACATGCAAGGGATAAAAGATAATAAAATATATAATTTGGATAATAAAAAATGAAAAACATCCCCATGATAAAAGTTGAGGGGAAATCTCTTTTCAGATACTTAGCAAAGGCCTCATAGAAGTTCATGACTATTAAACGTGCAGCAAACTGTTCCACCTGGCTGAGTCATGGTGATAGTCTGTTAATCAGCGCGTTGTAGGTTATTAACAGATTATTAACAGGGGAGAAATTCAAGGCTGTATCTTCAAATGTCACTTGGCTAGAAGTAAAATGGGTCTTGGGGACATTGCTGTGCTGGGAGAAACGAGGGAGAGCGCCGTGATCCTGGAGCAAATCCAAGGGAAAACTGTGGAGCTGCTTCCTAAAGCATCCGAGGGTTGGTTCAAACCATCCCCRCGCCGATGGAGCCACGTGAGGAGCGAGCAGGAAGTGTCTAAAATCCCAGGGCTTGATTAATTAGCTGTGATTAATCACAGAGACTTGCAGGTGTCCATCAAGGGCTRCTGGCCAGGAGAACTTAGTCACCAAGGTCGGGTGTGGGAAGGAGGGAGGAGCTGGGGTGCATATACACATATATATATATATATCTGTACACATATATATATATTTATACACACATATATATATATTCATACACATATATATTTATACACATATTATATATATATTTATACACATATGTGGCTATACATGCACTACTTATGGCCTTACGTGGATGCATGAGGTTCAGGAAGAAGGAAGAGCCGCCTGGGTGAATGGTTGGGTCAGGAGTGAGCAGGGAAGTGGCCCTGTTATCCCGGGAATGCGGAGCAGGGTGATGCTCTCCATGGGATTTCTTCGGCCTTTGGATTTGTAAAAAGCACCGTGGAAAACGCACGTGTGGATAAAAGAACGGCGCAGCTTCACCCTTCGGAATCGCTGCTAGCACAAGGCACCRTGGAAAAGTCTAAGAATGCTTGGAAATTAGAGGAAATCACAGAAAAAATCACTAGGGAGAGCGACCGCCTTTCACGTGGCATGGGTTTTAACATGGCATGGCTTAAACTTTTCCAATCAGGTGATGCCATCTACACGTCCAACGTGTTTTGTGCACCGAGCACGAGTTCATCTGAAGACTAAAGCTGAAATGTCTTGGCTTGCTTGGGCCTCTTACATATATGCACTCTATTTTTGCACATTTTCATGGGTMGGATAATTATCTCTAAGTAGATGGAAGCTTCTATCTCTTAAGTTTAGAAATTAATGTGGCAGAGAAGTTTGTGTTGAACGTTGGCCTCAAGACGGAGATATCCATGTAGCACAAATGTGAAAGCCTTGGAGAAACCACCCGATCTTCACGTTATTGCTAGTGAGCAAAGACTCTGCTCTCGAGAGCAGAATTCAATGAGGTATCAGCAACAACATATAGGATGTAAATAATGCATTTCACATACATTGACATTATTTACATTGTCTCTTGTTACTTCCAGCTGAGAGAAGAGAAACTGCAGGAGGAGAAAGCTTCCGAGGAGCTGATCCACAAGCTCCTTCTCGATGAGACGGAAGGAGGCAAAAGGAAAATGGAAGAACAGCAGAAAAAAGATGAATCGCTYGTGCTGAAGGTGAATCAGGAGTGTGTAAGTGAGCTTGGGGTTCTCTTTTATGTCTGCATGCCAGGCGTGGAGGGATATTCTGCTAAGGATCAGTCCTGGAATAAGAACTAGCTTTTCCAGGGCCTTGATTACCTGAACATCTCCCGTTTCTGCCCGTTGGAAACTGGGAGCTTCCTTCCCTTGGCAATGGGAGCTTTCCAGGATTATGTGATTGACTTCCCAGTAGCCCTTGGAGGAGCTAATGGGTTATGAAGGTCCATGCTAAAGAGAACTATCTCCTAAGGAGGTTTGCTGTGACCATAAATGTTCTTCTGAGAGATGATGTTCTTCTGAAGAACATAAATGGTCTTCAGAGAGGTTGCTCTCCCCTCTGTGCAGCTGGATCCCTTAGGCACTAGGGAGTCCTAGAGGATATAAGGAAACAACCAGGAACATCAGCTTCGCCCACCACCTTACACTGACCATYCCTGCTTGTCACTCCGCCCTGGAAAATTGGATTTTTCCTGGAAAATTCCTTAATTTCTGACCTTTGGGCCAACATCTGAGTTGTCACAGCTCCTGTGAAGAGAACTTCATGGCCATTTCACCCACGGGCAAAACTTATTCTCACGTTAGGTCCTCTAGACCTACCCACTGCAAGGGCTTTAGGAGACTTGCCTCGTTTTGCAAGGAAGAGCTTTATTTCCCAAGTGATTCTTGTTGTTGTACGTGTCACCTAACTCTGCCTTGGGTGCCTTCAGTTCCCTGAGCGCCTCTCGGATTCCGAGAACGAGGAACCGTTCCAGGGCAAACAGGCGCATYGCTCGGCTTTCGTCTCCAAGACCAGCGCCTACTCCTTCGCTTTCCTTTCAGGGTAAGAAGCTGAGCTTGAATTGGAGCTTATTCATGGCCATGCTAGCTGCAAATATGATGTTATTTCTCTAAACATTTCTGAGATGTTTTAGATTTAATTAAAAGGACTGGTCTGGTSCAAAATAAGTCCTAACTCTGCTGGAATTTCAGCATATACAAATCTGTAGGACATCTATCTGATTGCCTTCTAYCCATTACAAAATTCTGGATGTTGGTGCATTTAGTGTTCATCCCACAAGGTGGAAGCATCACTGAGTGCATGTTTAAATGGCAAAGCYATCCCAGAGCCTCATTCCCTGTGGTGAAATCATTTTTCAGTGGTGAAATCCGGAGCGCTGGATTCTTCTCCAGCACGGCTGCTAGCAGATAGCACCTGCCCCAAGCAGTTTATCAGCTAAAGCAGTTGCATGATGCAGTGTAAACGGGTTAGAGAGCAGGGTGGCACTTGAGGAGCACCAGGATTTCCATAATATTGGCATTTGCTCTGGCCTAAATTAACTATAAGCCATAGGTGGGTGTCAGGGTGTTGGGAGCAGAGCCCTTGAGTGGTGACCAGGGCTTAGGACAGATGTGAGGACAATTCTTGGAGCAGTTCAGTGGTCCAGATTATGAAGCCCAGCTGCTGCTTAAACCTCCTTGACGTTAAGGTCCCTCTGGCCAAAATGTGGGGTGGGGAGGGACCTGCTTCACCTTGTCCCAGCAGCGGGACCCCAAAACGAAGCAGAGCAGCACCCTGGGCCCTGCAGGACAACTATTCTTCCTATGTATTCATGCAAGCTCCTGTTGTCACCCACCTGCTTTCCAGGAACCTGACCTCCAAGGTGGAAAGGAGCCGGAGCTGCAACGACACCATTCAAGAGAGATCGAAGAGCAGGCAGAGATCGGCCCCAGCCAACAAGGCAAAGGTACTGCCTGTTCCCAAAAACGTGCAGCACATGGCAGGGAAGGGGGTTCGTGTAGAGGAGTCCTCCTCTGAGGTTACRCAGGGCCAGGAAGCTGGAAATGCAAAATATTGTGGGGTGAGAAGTGCTGCTTTCATGCAGTGGGGGCTGTCGGTCACGATAGAAACCTGCTAGGTTAGAAATTACGGAGCAGAAAAGTGGGCAACCTGCAGCGTTGCTCGGTAGCCCTGCGGGATAACCAGGAATTGGAAGGGCTCTCTCCACTCTTTCATTTGTGACTCCTGTTCTTTTCAAGGCTGAGACTTCAGTTGATTAAAGAGTAATTTAGGGGGAGGTTCAGGAGAAGCTCTGTCTTYCCCTCACCTCTCCCATTTCTCCCCTGCTCTTTTCAAAACTGGTTAAACAGCCAAATTCCCACTCATTCTCGCCCTGGTCTTGCTGAACTTTCCAGTGCTCTTTCACCGAGCTCTCCCCTGCAGAACGAGCTGGCCTGGACTTGCCCCGCTCCAGTYCAGCTGGCCAAAGGAATGAGCAGTGTTCAGTAGATGGAGCAGCGAGTCTGAATTTCCAACCGAGTTGTGATTATGTGATTTTTTTTTTTTTTTTTTCACATTGAAAATCCGACCCAGAGCATTTGGGGAGCCCTCCCGGCGGCCCAAATGAACTTGGTGCAGTCTCTGCCTCTCGCTTTGTCACTAATCTCTGTCTCCTGGGCCATTTTCTGCCTCCTTTCCAACGTGCCAGTCTGGCCCGGGGGATCCTGGCGGCGCCAGGAGCCAGGCACTGAGTTCAGCTTAGCCAGGGCCACCAGCTGCCGGGTGTCACCTGCAGGGGCCGTGTCCTCAAGGTAGGAGCCATGGGGATGCAGCATGTTCCCAAGACAGGGCCTGCCCGTGACACCCTTGGACTCTTCTCCTGTCCTCCGTGTCCCCACCGCCTGGAGCCTTCCTGCATGCAGCGGGAATCCCRCTCCCTTCGGCCTGGAAAACCTCCCCTTTACCTCCAGGGCTCCCAGGGGCGTTCCCGTTTTCCATTGTGTTTTCCCGGGGGCTGCCGATGCTCGCTCAATCCCAAGAGCTTCCCCTCCTTGCAGCCTGCCARGACGTTGGACCTGCTGGTGCTGCCACCACTCCTTTTTGGCTCTTAGTGTCCCAGGGAGGGCTCGATTCCGGAGATCCCATCCATCCCAGTTTGGTTCAGAGATTTTGCTTGGAAAATGGTAAAACCCCTGCTGAGCTTGACCCCAAGCTAGATAAGGTCACACCAGCGGGGTTCATTAAAAGGGTGTTTGGAGCAGCTTAGTCCCAGAAACATCTCTTCTCGTGACATTTTGCCCTCAGTGTGTCACACCTGGGCTACGTCCGTATTCTTTCTCTCCTATGGCCCCGTAGGTAGCAGAAAATCCTTTGGAAATCCTTTCCCTTGACGAGCACACGTTGGTGTTGGTGACATCAGCTGCACTCGCACCGTGGGCCTCAGCCCCTCGTTTTCTTGGGTGCCTTCAAACTTTTGCCCTCAGAAGGTCATCCCTGGCCCTGCCCCAGAGGCCCAAGGAAGGACTCCTGCCCTCAAACCCCCTTGAGATGCAGGACACGGTGGAGCGGACAGCAGGGATGACCACAAGGGCCTAAGAGTTGTGCTCAGCATTGAAGTTTTGGGGTGAGAACGTGGCTTGTGTAAGAAGCAGCAGRTGCCAGGGGCTGGTGGGACAGTTGTCACCATCTGAGACCAGGTAGAGGTGCCCAGGAGGCTAAAAGCCGTCGGTACCTGCAGCTGTTTGGGCGCTGTCACGTTTGCCGCATTCCTGTGCGCCTTCTTCTGGTCCATCTCTCCACAAGGAGAGCCCTTGTGAGACGCCAGGCCTTGTCTTTCAGGTTGCAGCCGTGCCCAGCGCCTCGACGCCCCTGCTTGGGGTCCTGTCGTGCACGCAGAACCACCGCTGCCTCTCGGCGCCGGACCTGAGCGCCGAGAAGCGCCTCGCGCTCACCGCCGCCTCCTCCTCCTCCTCGGCGCTCCACAAGCCCGAGCGGTCCATCAGCCCCGAGAGCAACGACAGCATCTCCGAGGAGCTCAACCACTTCAAGCCCATCGTGTGCTCGCCGTGCACCCCTCCCAAGCGGCTCCCCGACGGCCGCGTCCTCAGCCCCCTCATCATCAAGTCCACGCCGAGGAACCTCAGCCGGAGCCTGCAGAAGCCAACGAGCTACGAGGCCAGTCCCCGCATCCTYAAGAAATGGGAGCAAATATTCCAGGAGCGGCAGATCAAAAAGACGCTCTCCAAAGCAACTCTCACGTCGGCCGCTTCGGAGCCTGCGGACGATGTTGCGGCTCCGGGCGCCACCAACCCCAGCAGCTGCGTCAAAGAGCAACCGGAGGAGCCCGTCCCGCCGCACATGACGGGAGCCCCTCACCCGGAGCTGGATTTCTTTCCTTCCATGAGTGAAACGAAGCCGGGGACGGGAGGGGAGAGGAGCAGAGCTCCGCAGGCCTTAACAACAGCCGATAACTCCGCAGAAGCCGCCGCGAGAGCCAAGGTAAACGCGCGCCTCTCGGGAGCCCCCGAGGGAAAAGCCAGCGCCTACGCGGCCAAATCCTGCCTCAAAATGCCGAGCAGGAGCGGGCTGGTCGGCGCGGATCCTGTCAGAGCCCCGGGCAAGAAGCAGCTCCAGTTCCTGCCTCCCGGCGAGCCGCTCCCGGTGCGGAACAGCTCCGGCGGCGGCGGGGAGAAGCTCGCGGGCGAGCAGCCGCCGGCGCCGAGACGGGGCCGCAAGCGGCGCTGCAAAACGAAGCACCTGGAGCACAAGGGGCCCCTCAAGAGACTGCGGCCGGCGGCGGGCGACGCCGCCGGGGCACCCACCACCGCCGCCCAGCGGAGGCTGCGGCAGGAGGAGGAGGACCGGAGGCTGGCCCTGCGCCTGCAGCGCCTTTTCRACAGCGAGAACAGGACGGTGGAGAGGCGGAGAGCGCGAGGCGAGCGGTACCCGCTGCGCTCCAAGAGCACCCTGGGGGCGAAGTAGCCCTGCTGGGCGACGTGGCCTTTCTAGAGGACGCTGAGGTTGATGAGGTGGTCTCGGAGGAGGACTTTTGTCATGGTTCCCGCCCACACGATGGTCTTGCTTTTCGGTGGTATGGCATCCGGTTCAGGGAGGAGCCCAGGGTCCTTTCAGAGTTAACCAAAAAAACAGAAAAAAAGGGAATAAAAAATAGAATAAAAGGGGGGAAAAAAGTCCTCTGACCTCTCTGGTCCATGAGGCTGAAGGAAGTGTCAGTCCTCAGCACGATGCAGTGCAAGGCAGGTAAATATAATGGATGGTGTTTGGGTTCCCCGAGCTCAGGCTGCTGCATCAGCAGGGTACCAAGGTCCTGGGTGAATATGGAAGTATGGGATGTATCCTCCTATAGGGCACGGATCCGAATATATCCCTCATCCGAATGTATGGATGGTAGCTTGCTTGCTCTACACAGATGACCAAGAGTGGTAGCTGTAAGACAGGGATTTGACCGAAAAGCACTGGGAGAACTTGTAAATTTATGTGAATGATGGAGGGAAGGATGGTGTGGAGCAGCCAGGAGCTGTTCTCTTGGGCTCAGTGACACCTTTCTGCCTAACGTCCCCTGGTCTCTATCTCTCACCCAACGTATTTCATGCTCTTCCCACCAACGCTTGTAATCCAGCAGGGAAAACACTGCCTTGGGGGTGTGAGGAAGGAGGTTTTCCRTAGGGATGGGTATCCGAGAGCTCTCCCCATGCACATGAGACTTGTCCTTGCCTGTCCAGCACAGTTATCCCGTGGTCCTTGACCCATCCCGACCCTTTCCCGAGGGGCCTGCGGTGGAGTTGGGCCAAGCGCCTGGCCCTCCGGCTGGTGGCTGCACGTCCATGAGAAGATGCAGATCCAGATGCTCCATGTTGGCCACTTCCAAGCGGGAATTCGTGCTGCCAGGAGACTAAATCTGTCCCCTGGAAGGCAGAAGGTGCTAGAGCAGGCACAGGGTGTGCCAAGTGTCCCGTTGTCACCTGCCGACATGGCCAGGAGCATGGGATGGGCCACCGGGAATCCGGATCCCTGTATGCTCCTCAGCGTGACAATAACATATAATAATAATATAATAATAAATAGCAGCAGATCCAGCTGGCCTGGTGGTTTGATCCGACTCATCACCCGCTTCCCCCGTGACATTGCTGGTGCTTCACGGAGCAAATTGTGGGATTTATCCCACTGGATCTCCCATCCCCATTGTGGGATCTCTCATGAGGAGAATTACTCCCATATCCCAAGGCTGTATCCTTCCCATATCCCCAAGGTCTTTGATCCGTCACAGAGCATTTTCTCTCCTCTTCACCATCCATTCCCCATGAAATGGTTTCCTTGATTTTTTTTCCCGGGTAATTAGCCCAGAAAAACCTCAGCCCCATCCTTTCCTGCTGCCTTGCACTGTATTCACCCAGGATCCTCCGGAATCGCGGGAATCTCCTCCTTCCCTGCAGCTGAAACGGTTAAAAATAAGCAAAAATAGGAATTTCTTCTCTCTTYTGGCAGATTTGTGGGACTGCAAGGACCCTGGCGCTTTTTACCTCATTGAACTGGATGGTGGTTTTGGAGGGGGGGTTGTTTATTTTGTTTTTG